TTTTCACTATATAATCAATAGAGCCCCACCGTAAGATCAAAATCCCTGACCCTGAGGCCATAAAATTCACAATTTCAGAAGAGGTCTTTTTTGCTCAGCATAGCTATATACTCAGTTAATTTGTTTAATACCCAGGAGCAGAGAAGAAGATTTTCGAAGAATTTCTGCATTTTCTCAATATAATCAATGGAGCCGCCCCGCCCTAACACCAGAACCCCCTGACGCTGGGGCCATAAAATTCACAATTTTGTTAGAGACACTCTTGCTCATCATAACTATGTACTTAGTTATAAAATATTTTATTTAATACCCATGAGCAGAGAAGACGATTTTCAAAAAAATTCCGCATTTTCTTAATATAATCAATAGAGCCCCACCCTAACACCAGAACCCCTGACCATGGGGCCATAAAATTCACAATTTTGGAAGAGGCATTCTTCCTTCTCATAACTATGTGCTTAGTTAGTTTAATTATAACAGGACCAGAGAAGAAAAATTTTAAAGAAATGATGCATTTTCAATATAAAGTCAATAGAGCTATGTCCTAGCACTAGAACCCCTGTCCTTGGGGCCATGAATTTCACAATTGTGGTAGAGGACTCAATGGTCATTACATTCATGCTAACAGTTTGACCGCTTGATGATTGTAAAGATTGCATTAATTTTAGTGGTTTTGGTCCCACCCCTCAGACCCCAGGGGAGAGCCAGGGACCTAAAATTCACATTTTTTGTTCCCCTTTAACCATACATGCTTTATGTCAAGTTTGGAGGGAATTGGTTGAGTGGTTGCAGAGAAGTAGGTAAAATTGTTCAAACGTTAACGCACGACGCACTACCCCCCGACAACAGACGAAAACAGATAGTAGTAGGTTTACTCGGGTGACCTAAAATTGAATGGGTTTAAAAATTTAAATCCAGATTTTAAATATTGAATTGAATAAATAAAATTTGATTGCGTCTTGTTTTCCATAAAACACTAAGATTTTTTTCCGATGTAATTTTAGAAACAGATTTTTAGCCAATCAAAGTCTAATCCTCGCTAAAATAATTAGATACTAGTACCTTGGAACTGCTCTAAACAAGTTCCGGTAACGAGTTGTATTTCTTAAATCGAACCTTAGCCTACGTTTTCGTTTCATGCCCTCAGACCTGAGGTTGCTTCTATATAAATATGATCAATAAACATGACTTTATTGATTTTTGAAGATTTTCCCCTATATATCCCTATGTAAAACTGTTATCGTCCATTGCTGACCCACCCTACCCCTGGGAGTCATGAATTGAAATAACTTGAATATACGCCATCTGAGAATACTTCCATATAAATATGAAAAATCATGGCTTTGCTGCTTTTGAGAAAAAGATTGTGAAGAAATTCCCTATATATTCCTTTGTTAAACTTTAATTGTCCTTTGTGGCTTCAGTTTATTCCCCGGGGGTCATGCTTTGAATTAATTTAACTTCACACCATCTGAGGATGCTTCCATATAAAGATATGATCAATCATTGCTTTGCTGTTCTTGAGAGGAAGATTTTTAAAGATTTTTCCCACATATTCCCATGTAAAACTTTGATCATCTTTTGTTATCTATAATACCTGATAATGAGTTCACATGAGTTTCATCTTTCCTGGCCCTTTGGTTCTTGAAAAGAAAATTTGTCAATGATAATTTTTCGCTATTTAGTAATTGTCTCCCTTAATTTGGAGGATGCGAGGCCCTTCATTTGAACAAATTCCCTCCTCTACCCAAAAATACTCTGTGCCAAATTACGTTGAAATTGATCCAGTACTGTTGTCCCCAAAGAAGAAGATGAAAGAACAGGGTTCACTAATTTGGCCTATTTTGGGTTCTGTGAATTACTGAAAAACTAAAACTGCTTAACTTTATTTAACAATGCATTAAATATCATTTAGACTTATGATGATTCCATGTCTATCAAAAATGACGTTTTTTTAAAAAAAAAAATAATTTGTTTTATTTTTTAATGCATTATGACGTCAAAAATGTGTCAATTTCTTCATATTCAGAAAAAAGTTTACAAAACAGCAAATTTCAAAGCTTTTTTAAAATGTTTGATATAGAGCGCAACCTCTGATCTAAAATAAGCATCCATTAAATAATAGAACTGTTTCTGAGGATTACAAGACATGTTTTATTCTTTAAATCAGAGGGTGCGCTTATATTATTTTCCTTCTCTGAAAGTACTCAAATACACATGTTTACAATAAAATTCAAGAACATTGCAATTCCATTAAACCTGTGTTCCAAGACACGAAGTTTAAGGAGAAACATTTAAATGGAAAACGAAAGAACTCGGTCAATACTTTATTTTGATGTTTAAAATGGAACATAAAGTGTTCGTCAATAAATTGGTATATGTAAAGGGTCGTTTTATGCATTAAACCGCATAAAACGACGACAACCAACTGACATCGGACGATTTCTATCAGAAAGGCTCAGATAGGCTTCAAAAAGATTAACAAAGGACTTTTATCGAAAGAAAAATGCCAACATGCTTTAGACAAAGTTGGAAAATGCATAATTATAGTTAACATAAATTTGAAATAGCCTATATTGATGAATTAGCGTATGCATTTCATGTTACATGTAGCTGATTTCGAAGATTGAAGAAATATTAATTTTCTTTTTTCTGATAAAAATCATATATGGTAACTTACTCCCTCTAACATACACCCATGTTCCATAGGTGCTTGTTCCTACTCCTTCCGCATTCCTCGCAATACACCGATACCAATTGTTATGTTCATGATCAAAATCCACTACATTGATGACCAGTTTGGGATTAAAGAGATCAAGGGAACTGCCCATGTATCTTGATTCTGTAATGTTGATATCTACTCCATCTTTTTGCCATTTCGTCTCCAAAGTAGCAGGAAATTCGGTATTGTTCTGTACGGAGGCCATAATCACCAGATTTGATAGGAACGGGATGGTTATTGAACTGCCATTGGCAATGATTACCTTTGGAGTACCTTAGATGTATTATTTGAATTTATTACTGATTTATTTCATCATCTTGTGTAAGAAAATTGATTGGTTTATTACCGGTATGTTTATTATTCAAAAAATAAATAATAACTTTTCCAATAATAATGGTTAAAAAATTAAAAATTCAATTATAATTATACTTGTATAATTCTATACTCATATACAGAAGAAAAAATCGATTATTAATTACTAAAAACATTTACTTACGCAATGTTTCTATGTTCTCCTTATACGGTTGACTGTTTCTACCAAAGGAATACCAATACCAACTCTCAGTAATAATAGTAACTGGGTAAACTCTTCCTGGCTCCAATCTAATCGGCCAGGATATATAATTTGAAGATGAATGCCTCGTGTTTCCATCAATGCTTACTTGATATCTGTCAACACGAGTTTCGTTTCCTGGCAAATCCCATCTCAAATAAAGTTTTTCTGGATGAAAATTGCTGTTGTTTTTATCAATAAGGCCTGGAGAAAGGGGCTCTGAAAGTATACGATTTTTGAATGCTACCAATGAATAGAAAATGTATGCATAAAATTTTTTGTACCCTAATTATTGCACTATTTATCATGCAATATTATACGTTTGCATTTTCCTTTTAAACAAGCAATATAAAATTTGATAGTAACGATCTTGGAATTTTATTCATTGTAATTAGGTTTTCCATAAAGGGACTCGACTAAGACAATTTCCCTTTAATTCCCTTTAGCTTAATTTTTGATGTGTGAAACAAATTGTTCACAGATTGGTTGATTGATTGATTGTACCATCTCGAGAATTTTTCACATATATGGAGACGTAACCACTTGCCGGTGGAGAGCAACAATTTTTCTCCTATACTCGGCACTTAGGGCCATTGAGCAGTGATGGATCTTTTTTGTGCCAGCCCCTACTGCGACACAGGACCTCGGTTTATAATATTACGGTCTCATCCGAAGGACCGGTCTCCATGTCCCATTCGAATCGAATTCGAATCCGCGACGTAAGGATCGACTCCTTACTTAGAGCAGACGCTCTAACCACTGCGACTTCACAGATTGGTGCTTTGATGGTTCATATTTTTCTCGAGCGAGTATCAATAGCCTTTTTAGCTCACCTGAGCCGAAGGCTCAACTGAGCTTTTCTGATCAAAATTTGTCCGTTGTCTGTCGTTGTTGTCGTAAACTTTTTACATTTTCATCTTCTTCTTAAGAACCACTGGGCCAATTTCAACCAAACTTGCCACAAAGTATTCTTGGGTAAAGGGAATTCAAGTTTGTTCAAATGAAGGGCCAAGCCCTTTTCCAAGGGGAGATAATTATGAATTAATGAAAAATCAATGGCATCTTTTAAAATTCTTCTTCCCCAGAACCATTGGGCCTGGAAAGATGAAACTCATGTGGAAGTATCCTCAGGGATTGAAGATTCAAATTTGTTCAAATCATGGCCCCCGGGGGAGGGTGGGTCTTCAATGGCTGATGAAATGTACATTGGAATATGTATGAAAAATCTTTAAAGATCTTCTTCTCCAGAACAACTGGGCCAGGAAAGATGAAACTCACGTGGAAGCATCCTCAGGTAGTGTAGATTCAATTTTGTTAAAATCGTGACCGTCTGGAGAAGGCCGGGTCCACAATGGCTGATCAAATGTTTACATTGGAATGTATAGGAACTTTTTTTTTCAAAAATCATGTTCTCCAGCACCATTGAACCAGGAAAGATGAAACTCATGTGGAAGCATCCTCAGATAGTGTAAATTCAATTTTGTTCAAATCATAACCCATGGGGGTAGGGTGGGGCCACATTGACTGGTCATAGTTTAACATAGGAATAAATAGAATTTTTTTTTTTTAAATCTTCTTCTCCAGAACCATTGGACCAGGAAAGAGAAACTCATGTGGAAACATCCTCAGGTAGTCAAGATTCAAATTAATTCAAATCATGACCCCCGGGGGTAGGGTGGGGCCACAATGGCTGACCAAAGTTTTTACATAGGAATCTATAGGAATTTTTTTATTACAAATCTTCCTCTCTAGAACCATTGGACCAGGAAAGATGAAACTCATGTGGAAGCATCCTCAGGTAGTGTAAATTCAATTTTTTTCAAATCATGCCCCTCCGGGGGGTAGGGTGGGGTCACAATGGCTGATCAAATTTTTACATAGGAATTCATAGGAAAATCTTCGATAAACCTTCTTCTCAAGATCAGCAAATCTATGATTGGTGATAATAATATGGAAACATCCTCAGTTAGAGTTTATTCAAGTTTGTTCATATCGTGACCCCTTGAGGTAAGCTGGGGCCATAATGGGCAATCAAATCTTTACATAGGAATGTATAGGAATTTTTTTAAAAACTTTTCTTCTCAAGTATGGCAAAACTATACATGTATGCTTTATTGATATAGTGACATTCTCAAGTAATAAAAATTTCACCCCCTCTCCAAACAAGTAAACTTTTCAATAGAGCTGATTTGTGTTTTTTAACTAGCCCATTTGCTCAGGTGAGCGATGTGGCCTATGGGCCTCTTGTTAATATATGCTTACTTCAAGCTGAGTTTGTTATGTTTTCAATAAAACAAAATTATCTGTGTAAACGTGCCTAGAATGAGTAAGCTGATTCTCCTGTCTATCAACAGGCCCGCTTGAACCCTAATATTAATCAAACAATACATTCCGTAGTCGAACTATATACCAGTATATATGGCTTTACAATCGATATGAAACACGTCAGCCAAAATACAACACTATGTTAGGTTTTATTTGTTGTTTAACGTCCTCTCGAGAATTTTTCACTCATAGGGAGACACCATCAATTGCTGGTGGAGAGCTGCAAATTTTGTGCTATGCTCGGCACTAATGGCTATTGAGCAGTGAGGAATCTTTTTTTGTGCCAGAAATTACTGCGAGACGGGGCTCGGTCTATAGACGGTTTCATCCGAAGGACCGGTCTCCACATTACACAGTGGGCAACATTCAAACCTGGACATAATGATCGACTCCTTACTTCTAACCAACGCAGGTGACTCCCTGATGTTTGGGCAATTAGCACAACCATAATATATTATTATAATATAATAAATACTGTCTTTAAATGAGAAGTTGAAATTCCACAAGGATTTGTCATAGGATCAGGGCCTTGGAAGTTATATCAGATAAAAAATAATAATAATTTGGGCTTGCTATTGATAAAAAAACCGAAAAACAAATCCTTCTTTCATGAGTTGTAACTTTATATATTTCAGTGACCAGCAAATTCAAGAGCTGTATATAGCGTGAAAATTGTATACTCAAACTAGAGGTACTGTGAGCAATGAGCTCACTAAATGATACCCCCCGCCTCCCATAATGTCGATGTGTTGCTTTATATTGTTTTACGGTAATGTGTAAAGAGGAATAACTCGTCCTATGAAATGTTATCCAGAAGCTTCTATTATGTGACGTCATAGGTAAACAAAAAATGACAATGTCCATGTTTTGCTCTGGAAAACCTAAAATACGCGTCGAATAAAAAAGTAAAATAGGAGGTGCACAATGGCAATATGTAATAAAGATTCTGTGAAAGTTTCATTTAATTTCACTCAGTAGTATAAGAGGAGTTGCGGATAAGAGAAAAAGCGTAACAGACGGACGGACGGACGGACGGACGTACAGACGGACGGACGTACAGACGGACGGACGGAATTAACGATTACTATATACCCTCCCGCTTTTCAAGCGGGGGGTATAATAAATAAAAAAAGTCCTGTCAACCTGACCAGAAGGAAAGGAAAAAGAAATAAGCATACCTACAACAACATCCCGACTCGTTTGAACATAGATAGTTTCGAGTGGGTTAGTTAGTTGCACCGTTGATGTAATTGTATAGACATATCGATGGCCTGGAAGAAAATCAGACTTATACATATAATCTGTATGCTTTCCCACAGAGGCATTAACTTTAACTGATCCAGAATATTCCTTAATGGTGACGCTATAACATTGTATCAGTTTTGAGTCCACCGATGGCTCATTCCACCCCACATTGATGTTAGATTCTGTGATATTGTGGACTAGATTGGTGGCTTGAAGGTTCGACTCTACAATGAATATTTACAAGATTTAGTACATGTATATGTTGAATAGTATTAATAAATTTCAGGTAGAGATAACCATGTTCTTTTTGGTTAGTTATGAACAAAGATGAGTTTGTGAAATAATGATGCCCTCGTAGGCTCATGGCAAAGGTTAAAGTTTCTTATACACAGGCTTCGCCACCGGACCCCCACAAGAGCTTTGCCCTCGACCCACGCGGGGCTTCTACCCAGCTCAAGGCACCCTACCTTACTCACCCTACCCCCACCCCGAGATGAAATCCCTAGATCCGTCATCGACATTCCACTATTTATACTGAGACACTGAATTATTATATATGAATAATGAGGTGACATTTCAGGCTCTCTGGAATTCTAATATGTTCGGATTGCACAGTTACTCTGACTTGCCGGACTCAACAATTGTAACTTTAAGGTCAGTTTTGCAAAATATTCAAGTTTTTAATTTCATCTCTGCAAAGTGTCGTGCAAATAATAACTATTAGACAAGCTCTCTGTCTTGAATTAATACTTACTATAAAAGCATGTTTCATTACGATGGTAGTAGCTGTTAGAGCAGAGACACATGTTGTTCGAGCATTGTAAGTACATCCTCTCATCACATTCTCGAGTGGCATTACAGGCATTATTATACTGAAGAACTAAAACAAATAAATGATCTTTAAAGTAAAAGACGAACAATATCGTTATTCATATTTATATACTCCAAAATAGCGTCAAAATCTGAAAATTTCAAATTCTTTAGATGGATTATACATATTATACACAAATACCGATAAGACACGGAGAAAACGAATAAAACAATGCGCTTGTAATCAATTCTTCGATATATATAAAAAGCTTCGGAAAATGAAAACTTCACTGTATACTCTCTAATACTCACTTCCCCAGACTTTTTCAATATGAACTGTGCTGCTCACACACCAGCCTCCAGAGATTTTGACTTGTAACTGAAAATATCCAACGTCATCAAAGTCCACTGTATTAATGACAAGTTTTGGAGAAGGCAGAAGTTGGGTTTCAAAATATTTTTTGTCATATATTTTGATATCTTCGGCATCGCCATTCTTGATTCTTTGCCACTTAGCGTCAAGCGGTGGATCCAGTTTTGCCTCTACAAAGGCTGAAAACTCGGCTTTTTTACCAAAATCTGGTCCAAGAATTCCAGGTGAAAGAACGATTACGGGACAAACTATAATATACAGTTAAAATACAAGAACATGTTTTTGATGTTTTGAAGAGTTTACTAATTTCACAAATATATTGTTAATAAAAGTAGTCGTAAGTAGTAAGTCTAGATAGACGGGTCAACTGAGTGCACTTTTTATGCAAATGGGGTCAAAAAATGGTGGATTCTGATTGGCTGAGCCCCTGGGTGGGTCAACTGAGTGCAGTCCTAACCCTAACTCTAACCCTATCCCTAACTAACCCTAACCCTAACAAACCCTAACCCTAACCCCTAGCCCTAACTAACCCTATCCCTAACTATCCCTAACTAACCCTTAGCCCCCCTTAACCCTAATCCCCTTAACCCTAACCCTAACCCCTAACCCTAACCTATTCCCTAAATACGGGGTGTTTACACTCTACGCTGCTACTACGATTTTGGCAGCGACTCAAAAAAATGTGATTATGACGTCACGCTTTCATTCACAGTCTAGACGGTCTAGCCTAACCAGTTCAAACTGGTTTTACTGAAAAAAGACAAGAACACACAATAACAATAACAAGACAGATTTTATTTAGAATGAAAAATACATACAACAATTTACCAGGCTGTCTTTTAATCTAAAATACCGTCCAAATTAATCATCCAGTCCAACACGCTCCATTTGGATCATCATTACATCATCATCATTATCATCAGCAGCAGCAGCAGCAGCAGCATAATCTCCTATCCTCCAAGGAATACCTTTTTCATTTGGAAAATAAGGAATTATTCCATGGAGATACTGTGCAAAAGAACCCCTAGATCCCGGTCTTTTTAAGGCTTTTCCTTCTCTCGTGCTCTGGAGTAAATGTTCAATACACGATTCTAACTCGGAGGTAAAGTATTCAGTTCCAATCAGAAAATCATCATAATCATCCTCAGCTGTGATCTCCCATTTGAAGTGATGATAACCCTTCATTCCCTCAAAAGAGCAGTGCTTTCTTATCACTACATAATTTTCAGGAAATTTCACCCTTTTTTCCAACCATACTTTTTGTTTAGTTTCTTCAACTTTTCTTTAGATTGTTCCGGAATCATCTTATTCAAACCCCACATTTGTTTACAGTATTCCCAAAAAGTCCATGGTTTTTGATTAGATTCCTCTGAATGGGTTTTATGGAAATCCTTCCTGGCTTCTTCTAGGGTATCCATCCAGAGTCCATTCTTGTCAGTATTATCAATAAGCCAGCGATACCTTGGTTCCATACCTCTGACTTGACCACTGAACTTTTTTTACTTGTGTTCACTTCCAAGTACTCACACAGAATGATCCTTCATGTTCACCCCTGGTTTGTATATATATGGCATGGGTTTATTTTAGAGTCGTGTGCAAAAAAAATGTAACTTTTACTTGCCTTTTCTTATATACCTGTTTGCATCATCTGTAAAGAACCGTGTGCAACAAAAAAAAAATAGGGTCGTGTGCAAAAAATATACCTTTTACCTACCTTTTCTTATATACCTGTGTGCATCACCTGTAAAGGACCGTGTGCAAAAAAAAAATTAGGGTCGTGTGCAAAAAAAAAAAAAAAAGGTTTGGACTTACCTATGCATTGTGACGTCATCCACTGTATAAATACAGCTTTTCTTCCACTTTGGGTTCATTTTACCCTCAGAGCCATCAGCTGTTAGACATGGATTCTACTAGAGAAAAACAGTTACAGGCTTAACGATTATTGAAACGAAAAAGAACCGAGAGAGAATTA